GTTTCGATCTCCCCCGAACTTGATTTTCCTAGTTACTTTAGAGAGACCGGCAAAATTTTTCCTTGTCTAATCGAAAATGGAACATAAGTCTAGGAAAGGGTATTCGGTATTGGAGATAATTGAATACGCAAAAACCTATTGTTATTTTTAGTCTATTCGCTCATACATACATATTTATTGGGATATTTTCTGCGTGTGAACACATCTTAAACATGATGACGAACTAAATTTTTGGAATAATAATTATAATAATAATAATAATAACAACAACAACAACAACAACAACAACAACAACAACAACAATAGTATTAATCCCAAAACGGTGAGCCATAAGATTAATCGACAAATCAACGCCCCGTGAGATTGTTTATAAAGTTTTGAGTACAACATAATTAACTGGACTGAGAATTATTTTGTTTGTTTTGTTTGTTTGTTTATTTTTAGCTACTTGGTAGGTAGGTTAATCTTTTATTGGGTGAACAATGTCTGTTTCAATTATTTTATCGAAATTTCAAAAAACGTCATTATTAAATAAATGTTTATTTGTCAAAAAATGGTAATATTATATACGTATTTATTATGTATACATGGGTTATTACAAAAAAGGATTTTCTTCACGCGTCAAAAAATATCAATAATTCCGAGTTTCTGATTAGGAAAGAATGGTCGCCAAGAATGGATTGTGCATTTTTTCCTTTGCAATGATGATATTGGTAACAAGTAAATATGAAACGACGACTAAGACCACAACCTTGTGCTAATAAAAATGATCGATCGATTGATATTGTCTCAGTGACCCAGAGTTTTGTGTGAAAAAACCAAAATATTTTTAGCTAATTGTTCGTGTCAAAAAAAAATATATTGTAGATAGAATATTTTTTCCGTTAGAAGCTTAGAGAGCATGCATCAATGAGAAGAAACTCATTCACATACATACATAGATTTACACTCATTAGCATTTTATTTGACATACCAAATGTTCCTTATAGCCATCAACCCCCGGTTTCAAAAGTAACAATAAATAAAAATTTTCTTCTCATTGGGAGTTTCTATAATTGATTTATCGAGAAAAATGTCGTTTCAACGTATAAGGTAAATCGAATACAAGTAAAGACATCCTAGGAAAAGATTCCTCTTCATCTAAAAACAAGTTGAAATCTATGCGTCTATTATTTACCATAAATATCCTCTATAATAATTTATATATCGTATTTACCCCACAATCTTGCAACTCGCTGCAGTGCAAATAAAAATAAAATTAACTCCGCAAAAAATATGATGCACGTCAATTAAAATCACAGACGATTTCATTAGAGTAAACCCCGAAGATTAGATATTACATTGTATGCAATTAAATTTCCGCTTTCATTAATTTGATGTGTGAATGACACATTTTACTCATGCGCATTTTTGTGCTCTTTCTTTTTCAAAGTAAATAACATCTTTCACGTACGAGAAAAACAATAAAACATCAAATTTCGGGGAATGATGGCAAGAATAATAACATGCACGTCAAATCTTTGAATACATCATCATGATCAACACAATGCAAAAATTTATTATTCCGATATATTGTTTGGCATGTCCTACCCGAAACCCATGGAAGGACAAGATGCCAAATACGGAATTTAATCGATTTATCGTTAAAAAACCGATTATTGTTCTTAAATCTTTTGCTTGCCTGATTTGTGAACAATGGATGATGATAATAGTAATAGGATCAGATTTATGAAGATTGTTATTTCCTCTCAAGTTATAGTGGATTCCAGTTTGTCGGTAAATAAATGTCATCTAACAATTTGGTAGACAAGAGCTCATAGAGCATATATCATGTATGTTAGAAGAGCATGATCTCTTTGCCGCTCGCGTGGATAACTGAAAGCTTGACTATTGAAATATATAATAGGAAATAATGGGATAACGGTTTTGTTCTAATAATAGCACAATTTATGAAGAACCGTCTATTCTTTCTTCTAATTGGAGTCAGTATATTGATTCGGTTCAATTTGATGTTCTCATTTAATAACGCACGCCCCCAAGATTCATCAATTGTAATGACGTGTAACATAATTATTATCGCATTAAGTTCAAAACATGCACAGTAGATAATTCATGCAAGAAAGTCTATTACAAACAATCGTTAATCTTCAGTCCTTTGCATTTATTATGCTCAAGATAATTAACCAAAAAAAAATGTTTGTTTTTCTTTTAAAGGTAAGTATTGATTATTTCCTTTAATATACATTAATGAATTGTGAATTTAATTAAAATCGTGTGCGTTATTAAAACAATATTGCATGGCTGCTACTACACGGAGACCTGTCAAATTTTGAGTTTATTACCGTATTTGGTGATCATACAAATTATTATTGTTATCACCTAAAACACATTATGTATGTGAAGTTTTTCCCATTGACTTATTGAATGTTTCTATTTTTATGTTTATACAAAGGGGAAAGAGATATTGATAAAAAAAAATAATCTCAAAATAAAGCGACACTTTTTGACATACCGAAAAAAGGAAATCGATAAACTCGCCAAAAACGGTATGATGGTAGTTGACGATGATCACTTTTTACGGGCTATATAATGGTAACGATAACGCTTTGACCAGTCGAAAACATTGATCATGTCAAAGCGAGTCTTTTCATCGCATTGACTACACCACATTATGTATGCATCGTAGATATTACGGAGATACAAACATAAATTTAAAGTTTAGCCTGTATTATTGATTTTCAATTTATAGTAGAACCCTTAGCAAACTTGTTTACAACTTGAAATTATCCACTTGTCATATCTGTGTTTTGCAGTAATTCCATCAATTTCAAAATTCTTTGTTGTGAATTGTTGATTTTTTATATTTGATCATATGAAATTAAACTTTAAAATTAGTTTCCGGATATTATCATTTATAGTTTTATTTGTCCAACATTAAACTTAAAAATAATTAATTTAAAATGACAAGTTTTTTGTCTAAACACCGACAATAATTTTAATTGGCTCTTTGGTGTTCAATTTAATTAGAATTAATAATTTGCAATAGATCTAGAAATCTGGATATACCCGTTGTTGGGTAGCTTGTTTTTCTCGGTTTTTGGATTTCATGCTGCGCTTTGTTTGTTGCAATGCGAAAGGTGAGGATACCACCGGTAAATGATCCTAATTCAAATACAAGTCGATCTGAGATAATAAAAAATAAAAATCCACATATACATACAATTTTCTTTATTCTTTCTGTATTTTTCATCATAGCCTCGTACGAATACACCCACTAAAAGAAGAAGAATGAAATCTTTTTGTTCCCCAATTTTATCAATGACTTCCTTTATCAATGACTTTCTTGCCAGAGCACCAAAAAATATCCAATCGTTAGTTTTAATTTGAACATTCTAACGTGTTTCTACTGCTCGAACATGAGATTTTTGTTGTTTTTAATAACAGTAGTACAATTAAGTAAGACAACGAGCATTGTCGCCGAACATGAGAAAGCATTTAAATGTCTTTGTTCGCCAAAACAATGATGTTATTATGCTTATCCCCTTCTTTTGGATCAGGGCAGAGCATTGTGCCTTTGACAAATACAAAACATTTGTGTAATTTATATTGACAAAGATGCTAATATTTTTTTCTTCGTTGTAATCGTTTCAACCTAATAAAAATTAGACAAATTCGGTATAGCCCAACTTTAAAAATTAATAATAATCGATCTCACTTTAAACCTACACACAACACACACAACAGAAAACCTGTTACATTTTCGTAAATAAATGCATTATTAAAGGACACAAATCACACGTCACCTGAAACACAACATTCTTCAATGGTTTAATTACTCTTCCATCGAATCTCCCGCCTTTTTTATTTTATCGATATTGACCTACTCCAAATCCAGTAATTCCGCTTATTTTTCCATAAATATTGGTTTCTTTGTAAATCCAAAATCCACGTTTTATTTTTTTTTGTGTACGCAATGTTGCAGGATTCTTGTTACCTGCGTACATATATTTATATTGTAATTAGAATATTAATTATGTATCAAAAAAATTTTATATTACACGATAAATTTGGATATCAAGAACCTTACGGGAGGGAAACAGTAATCGAAACCGGAAATGAGGCCATTGTGTGACTGCATGGTCATTGTTCATTGTTCTCTCTATATGAATTATAATTTGATGATGTTCTGCATTTTCTGCATTCTTTTGTGCGGGGTTACGTATTGTTTCTTTGTCTTTCCTTCCAAAAAGATTTTTTATTAACAAAATTTTCTTTATTTTTTAATCTCTTTTTAGGCTTTGAATAAATTTATAATTCAGAATAAATCAAGAGTTTGAACAAATTTATAAATCAAAATAAAACAAAGACTTTGAATATATTTATAAATCCAAAGTAAAATCAATCGCATTCTATTTCATAATATCTTATACTCATAAACGCTTTAAAATTCACCTTTTTAAATGAATGAACGAATGAATGAAGCAACTGCATATTTTATTGACTTTGTTGATTCATTTAATCGAATTGGGATACTTAGGCAAGTTCACGTAAAATATGATACTTCAATTGCTGCGAAAGTCCTAAACGGGGAAGGAGAAAGCGAATGAATAACTCTTAAAAGTTTTTTCTCACACAAAACCTGCACATTGTATAATACTGTCTAGAACATTTTCCTTCGACCTCCAAAACATACCAAATAAAATAAACAAAACAATGCATCATGATGTCAAAGAATCCTTTGACCGTCCAAATAAAATACTTTATCATCAGAAATCTGGATCAAACTATAAGATTTGATCTTTTCAGTCAATGATTCATTCATTTTCTATGCACAACAAAGAATGTTTGTAATGGATTGATTAATAGTTTATAAGAATAAAAATGGCTTCTATAAATTATAGGATAAAATTTTAGTCGCTTTCCGTAATCTATGAAACAATCATTGTGTTCCTGGGAATTTTCTATTTAGTTTTTATACCAAGACTACCAATTATATATGTTTAATCATCAAATTCCACAACATCCACACTATCCCCATTTGTTGCAATAATCTTTTCCTGATTTCCATTTCCTTCGTTCGGTGGATTTTCCTTTCGTCTTCGTCTTAAAATGCCACGTGACCATCTATCCTGATTCGAAGTATTAGGACCCCATCGCCATCTAATGTATCGTCGACCTGCTTCCCCATGCACATCACCAATTATATCATCATCGCAATTACCAAACAATGGATCTTTCTTTCGTAGGCGTCCATATGTTTCAACCATTACGAGTAACAGAGAAAGAAGCGAGACGATAATGAGAAAATCACAAGAATTAAGCTTGGCGACTGGGAGTATCATATATGTAGCTCCAACTATTATTCGAAGTGCAATTCGGTTTTTCTGAAGATAAATCAAGAGTAAATAAAAAATATTGGAAAGTGCATTATAAATAAAATATTTACCTTTGAAATTCGTAATGAATCCTGTTCATCTAATGATTTATGCAATACTCCAATAAAAGCCATGCAATATATTGCTAAAGCCAATGAACCAGATAATAACCAATACACTGGTTCATCAACGCTTGTTTGTGTAGAAGCAGATTCGGCATGTACCTCTTCACTAGCGCCAGGGCCTGTGGGAATGAGATCTCCACCTGAAAAATCTCGAGCCGCAATAATCACTGATAAAGAATTTCTAATAATAAAAAGAGATTAAACATAATACTTTGGGAATTCATTAATTCTTTGATTATATAGACACCGACCCTATTGCGATCAATGACATCGCCTACATTAATATGATAGAATCAAAAATTAATTTAAAATCAAGAGAAATCAATAAAGAAAATCAAACATACCAAAGGGAAATGTGCAAAACCAAACAATACACCAGTTATCACATGCCTTCGTAATGCATGCTGAAATCGTTGACTGGCATCTACATCAAAATATATCCAGTGTAAGTCGTATGCCAGCAATAAACCCAAAATAGACTAATTATAATGTGATAGTATTAGTCAGATAATACAATCTTAAACTCAACTAATAATATTTCTGTTACTTAACCTTTCCCAATATCCAATCAGGTTTTGCATTCCAACTTTCTTGTATAATAGCGAAAACCTAAAAACGCGTTTACGAAAACCCGAAAAAATAAAACTTAACAATAATAAAATCATCTATTAATTTACTTCTCCGATTTTATAACTTACTATTTCACCAATACAAATAATAATAAAAACTCCGCAACGTTCACTCCAATGTTCAATATTTAAAGCCGGCCGATATTCTTGAATTTTAAATACACTAAACCAATCTTTCCATCTCCATTGATATTCGGTACCTCTTGTTTTGATTGCACGATGAGGCCTCGTAGCAACACGAGAAAGCGGTAACACCGGGGGTAATGTGCCACCACTTTTAGCCCCCGTCTCCTTGTCTGTTATAGTTCCTACTCTTTCAAAATCTCTTGTGTGCACGTGATTAGCTGGATTTTTAGTACCAAATCGATTATAGATCGGAACGAATCCTTGCCAAAAAATATCTTTTTGATTTAAATCAAGATAAGTACATAAGTAAATTTAATAACAAAGAATAACATTGTACATGATTAATGTTTCCTCGACTTACCAAACGCAATCGCTGCCCAAATTAATGCTTTTTTGTTCTCACTAGAAACAAAACTAGCGACGATCCACAAAACAGATGGTATAAAAATCCCCCAAGCATAGCTGACCAATGCAACACGAAATAGTGGAATTACTTGAGCCAAGCTCATATATAGAACAAAAAGTGACATACGTCCAATCACATATGCCACTAAACAAGTAAATTGAAAAATAGGTTTAGACTCTCAAAACACTAATTTAAATCTTATAATTATGCAATCATACCGATAAACGTTTGTCCAGTTTCTCCTTTGATATCCCGAGAATGACCAACCATAGTAATAATAATAATCATTTCCTAAAAGTCAATTATTAATTATAGTTTTATTTTTGTAACATTAATAAAAGGTTTCTTACCCATAGCATCAGAAACTTTTGAATAAGATCATTTGAGCTATATATATTTAAATAAGACTGCATATCAAGCCATATACGCCAAACTGGATAACTGCATCAAAAAATTATGATTGAATTAAACCATTTTCGTCACGAATCATTCTCTCTAATAAACAAAACTTACAATGTAATAAAAAATATTTCCAAACTTTCTGCACCCTCAGACGAGATATTATTTATCAATTGATGACCCAATATACCAACAGCCCCAACAAACACCAAATCCCAAAACAGTTCCGTGAAGCTTGATGATCTTTCTTCCGCTTCACGATGCAATGTACCATCGTGCCAATATTGACGTACACGAGGGGCACGAATTAATCTATCATATGCATCATGTTCTTCATCCTCATCCGCAATAATTTCCAATTTCTGGAGTGCCCCAAAGGTATGGACAGTCGCATGTATTGTTTGTTCAGAATCAGAATCAGTGTTGTGACCTAATTGTTTTAATTCCCTGACAAGAACATTAAGTTGTCTTGACACTGATTCAGATTGAGAAAGAGCCTCTTGTCTTTCTTTTTCTATTCTTTCTGAGTTCAATTTTAATTCATCTATTTTAGCTTTAAGAGCTGCAATCTATTATGAGATGTAAAATACGGAAAATCTTCCGATTAATATCGTGATCAGTAAAAACTTAGATTTAAACTGCCAAATTGAGATTATTTCGTGTAAAATCATATTATTCTAACTCTTGACAAAACTTACATGTTCCGGAGACCTTAAAACACAATATTCTGTTGCTCCTTCACCACTGATAACACTTTCTTCATTCTCGACAACTAACACCTTTTGTCCTCCAATTTCAAGTTTCTTTGAGTATTCGACTAATTTCTCCCAAGTTTGATCTTTTTTATCATTTTGATTAGTTGGTTTATGTTTTTCTTCTGACTCAACTTGAATAGATACGACAGTCTCTATAGCTGTTGATGGTGTGACAACATTCTCTTCTACTTGAGTCTGTCTTTTATTATCATTGTCCGTATTTTTATTATCCGCCATATGTGTGAATGTTATCGCGATATTTTAAATTTTATAATCGCTTTTATGTTACCCGATTTAGATAGAAACAGGTAATTGTGCCAAAAGGGAATTTCTTAGTGCTTCCAACAACGGGTAAAATCCCCGGTTTCTATACTCATCTTTGTACCAATTTTCAACATAATTCGTTGAGTTATTATTAGGTCCCAAAGTTCGTAATTATGCTAGTAAAAATTCAGTTATTTTTTACTAGCATATAATAACGAATAATGTTGAGTCAATCCCCTTCAGAATTTTCTTGAAAACAAAAATAGTTGGTGTTAAAATTTCACTGATTAAAAATGTTCGTTTTCGACATTTTTGACATTTTTTTAGATTAAAATGAGTAGAGAACCAGTCGATTTTGGAATTTTTTTCGTGTCCGTTTATATAAGTGAGCCACTGTGATTTTACTAACCAGATTTGGGGAGCGGTTAAAGCGTAGTCCATCATTTGATCTATGAATATTACAAGAAAATCAATGCCTAACCATTACCCTTATAAATCATTAATAGGTGAAAATTTAGGATCGATCACACGATGGACTACGCTTTAACCGTTCTCCAGATTTGGTTCGCGACTCCAGTCCGAGATCATAAATAATACAAGGACAAAAAATAATATAAAAATTTTCATTTTACTAACCCAGTTCTGATTGGTTCAGATATTAAAGACCGATTTTAAGGTTAGGAGGAAATTGTCTTCCCGGCATTTTTAATTAATAAATAATTTTTTTGACTTTCTGCGTAATTATAATCTGCGCAAATTTTGATCAACCCGGCAAAACAAATCCAGTACAAGAAAAATGAAAAGCAAAAATCTAGAATAGTTGCCGGCTCACATATGATTAACGCATCCTTATTGATTACAGGTTGTAATTGCGCGTGCTTGATCTACCAATCAGCGATGAGATTTACTTGCATCCAACGTTAAATATGATCAAAATTTTTGCATAAGAGTTAATATGATGTAATTAATCTTGTAAAATTCATATGTGATTTGGATTATTAATTATTATTTATTTCATACTTATTCTATTTTATATAATTATATTGCTCTGTTTATACTGTTACTCTCAGACTTGATAATTATTCAAATAATAAGATAATACGTTGTTTATTAATCAATTCACATTTTATTATAAATAAATAAGCTTAAACTTGATAATAGCAAATATAGATTAAATTATTATATACACCCTTCCTAAGTGCACACGCTATATAACTCCTCTTTAAATGCATGATATATTCTGGTTTCAGATTATAAGAGCTCTATATATTTTTAACCTCTATAAATGAACACTCTCTCTAAATACATATTTTTTTATCATAATTCCAAGAGGGATGCACTTAGAAAGATATAACTATATATTTTGATATAATTATAATTTATTCAGATATTCAATCATATAAATAGAATATTTATATTTTAATCATTCTTAATTGGATTAATAAGAAATAGTCAAATATAAAAATAATAATAATGATTATATATATTTACTAAATAATTGAAAAAATTTAAAAAACTTTATAAAAATAAATAAAACTAATAAAAATTGAAATTTTCTTTTTTATTAGAAAATTTCTGGATTTTTTTATAATAACTTTGAAAATTCTTTAATATTATTATAAATATTTTTGAAATTAATTTAATATATTTTATTAAAATTTTTCTAAAATTTTTTATCATATTTATTAAAATATTACTGAAATATTTTTAAAATATTTTATTATATTTATTGAAATATTTCTAAAATATTTTACTATATTTATCAGAATATTATATCAGAAATAAATAATAAAATATATATATATTTATTAAAAAAATATTTATAGTATAATTAAAAATTATTTAAAAAAATAAATTTATTTTATTTTTAATAAATAATAATTATAAAATACATATAAAATATTAAAAAAATATCTACTTATATAGTGACAATCAAAAATAATGACTCAGAAACTAAATTTATTAATAAAATATAATGAAAATTAAAACTTTCTCTTTATATTAAAATTTATAATTTTATTAATATATTTTTTTCAGATTTTTTTAGATTTTTTTTGAAAGAGTTGCTCTAATTATAAAGTTAGTATAAAAATTTTTATTAATTAAATTTCATTTTTAATTAGTAAAAATTTTTACATTAACTTTATAATTAAAGTAACTCTTTCAGAAAAATTCTAAAAAATCTGAAAAAAATATATGTTAAACTATAATTAATAAACTTTATTTTAATATAAAAATAAAAATTATTTTTTAATAAAAT